ATCTCTCGATCTCTTGCTCTCTCTCTCTCTCTTTGTCTCTATCTATACATTCCTTAGTAGTTCAATCTCTCTAAGTCTGTCTCTGTCTATATACTCCTTTCTTTTTCACTCTCGTTCTTTTTATATGCCTTAAGCTCTCTCCTTTAATTTACTCCTTCGATGCTGTCTGGTTCTCTCTAGCTGTCTCTCTCTATTCCAGGAGCTGCTTCACTCTGTCACCCAAAAACCAATATACCCTTTTAAACAATCAAGCAAAGAGCATATGAAAAATGTTGTAAGCGGCTGTTAGAAAATTTTTATTGCAAATCTTTGGGATACCATGAAAAACCTGTAGACTGCCTATGTATGTGTGCTTGACAGCTCTTATGAAAGCGAAAGTATGAAATTTGTACTTCGGTAAAAAGCGAAACCCCCTCAACTATAATAAAACATACCGAGAAACAACAAACACCAACCGCCTGGCAAGTGGTCCATAAAGAGCTGTCATTAAGCTGTGGCGAGCCGTGAATAGAAATTCGCAACTCTTCGCCGATGTTATATAAGCAAAATGCCATAAACCAACTATAACTTATTCAAATTGCTAATCCATAATTTGAGAAACTAATAAACTGATTTATGCATAGCATATATATATAGTATATCTATATATATTTGGCGATACTTTTATGGCAAGCGATAGGCGGGCTTAATTTGGGAACTTCGACTTCATAATTAATGTTCGAATAATTATCAAGTTTTTAAAGTTTGATTTAAGCTTAATTAAAATTTATTATGATTGAGAAAATCTGAAAAATACTAGGTATATATGGTATACTAGAGTATATATAGCATAGTAAATTATATTGGCTCTAGCAAATACCTTTTTTGTCTATAATTATTTCTTAATATTTTTTTTATTTATGTTTAGAAATCGCAAATATGGCATAGGTTCATATATGTGTTTTTTTTTATTATTATTATTTAAAAAAACAATTTAGGCTTTAAGCTGTTGACCGTGACAGATTTTTTTGTTATTTCATCAAGTTGGCTTTGGCATATAGGAAATTTGAGATTTGTTTTGAAGTTTATTTTAATGTTCAGAGTGGGCTTAGTGTGAATATGAACAATGGAAGAAGCTAACTAAGCAATTATAAATAATAGGTAATAAAAGATTAAATTTAGTAATAAACAAATTAAAACAAACAATAGAAATTAAATGGATTTGTCACATGTTCTATTGATATGGAAGAGATATTTACAGAGATTGTGGACAGGCAAAGTTTCTATACTAACTTAATATATATAATTGATATATATTTATATATATATATAATGTAAAAAAATATATTCTATCTATATCTATATCTATGTCTATATCTATATCTATATCAATATCTATATCTACCACCTACAACCCTTAATACAATCCTCAACTCTTCTACGCACTTTCATCAGCAGCTGTAGCTGAACAATTTCACCTGCGCATCTTCGCGAAACACTTATCAATAAAAGTATGCGCCTACATAGACAAGTATACATGTGTAACTATAAACAGTTACAGATGCCCACACGCACTCGCAGAGTAGTTGTGGATGCTTCAAGTGTCTATGCAGCTTATTCACTTGAGCATTCGATTTAATTCATGAGTATTACGCGTATTTCTGTCGATCATGACGCTTTTGCTGTTAAATGATTTTTTCTTAACTTTCACTTGGGAGAGAGACGTCTCGCTGCTTGTCTGTCTGCCTGTTTATCGATAGACGGCATTAATTAAAACATTATATTCACATTATTAATTCAGTCGATATGCGTCTCTTTCTTCTTCTTCCTCCTCTTCACCATCTTTTCCACGCAATTCATGGTGTGAACATTTACTTTACAGCTGCAACTCTCTGAATGTTTCGTTGTTTTTTGCGCTAATTTTTCGCACTTGGCAATGACGCCGTTTGCTGGGTTCACGCCTAACGGTTTTCGTTGGTATGGGAAATGGGGAAAAGCGTTAAGGAAAAGCGACAAGTGCAGACAATGGCCAAACGAACAAGCAAACAAACAAACAACATTAACTACAGTTACCCATATATAAAGCTTAACCTTCAGTTTCCGTATAAAAATTTTCCGTTTCACGAACTGTTAAATTATATAATTCCAAATGCATTTGATTAATGGCATTAGGAAATGCTGAATAAATGCACAAGAGGTATTTAAAAGTCTGCAAATATAATAATAATATAATAAATATAAATCAAAAATATATAACAAAAGTTATATACGATTAGCTTTATAAATAAAAAAGGAACAACTGGCAGACACAAGCGAATTTTCTCTGTCTTTGCGCTTATAATTTCCAACTGGTTTTAGCATAAATTTACTCTTCGAATTTTAGTTTAAATATTTATTTTTTATTCTTTATTCAGATTAATTGCAGTTTTATAGTCAAGCAACAGAAAATTTCGTTTCAAATTTGACGAAGAATTTTCTTTTACTTGGAGTTTTTTTGTTGCAATTGCTTTTGGCCATAGTTGCTGGAGGCACACATAAATCAGAAACTTCATTAAGACAACTGCCAAAATCTATGAATATAAATCTAAGTGCAGTGTCCAATCGCTGCTCCATGCGCCTCCTTGTTAAAGCCAATGCCAACTACGTGACGACCCCATGTGCTGAAATTATAGCAAAAGTGCAAAACAACGGCAACTGGCAGCCAGGTAAACTGGCCAACTGGGCAAGTGGGCAAGTGGGCAACTGGCACCTGGCAGTTGGCAGTTGGCAGCCAGCGAAATAAATAACTCAATTTAGGAAAAAGTGTTAACTTGAAATTTGCCAATAAATCAATGGACAGGCCGGGGCATGGCATGGCACGGCGTGGTGAGGCGAGGCGAGGCGAGGCATCTTGTGATTAGCAGCCGAACGCGCAGCCTGGCGATTGCTAATCTACAGCAACTCCTTAAACGCTCTGCCCGCCTCAGTACGAGTCAGTTTTGAAAAGCGGAAGACTTTTCAATAAGCTTGGCCAAAATCACAACCCAGCGATGCCAAACTCCAAGATTGGGCAGCCGTCACTTGGCACTTGGGGCTGACAGACAATAAACTCTGTGATTTTTTTCTGCCTGACTTTTTATTTCCTCCTAAGCCGCCGTCTCTGTGGCCAGCAGCTCTTGTTGTTGTTTCTTTTATTTTAATTTGCCGTTTCTGTTTTTTTTTCTTGTTTTTTTTTCAGTGCCGTCAAAATAATTTGGCTCACTTCACGCCTGTCAGACGCGAAACTCAGATCTTTATCGCGCATCACACGCTGCCCGCTTCATGATTTTACAAATAAACTTCAATTAAATTTTGATTGAAACGAATGTAATTGTCCGAGCTGTCCGAGACGTCAACATTTCTCCAATAGCGGCCGCTCGCCTTAATTTAAATAACTGTTTAGCCCTTGCTCACAACTGTTATACTCGTACTCATGCTCATGTATATGCGTAGCTTGAGGTCGATTCGGATTCTGGTTATGTAAATCGCCTTTGACATGCTGCCTCAGCTGCGTCCAGACTGATTCCGAACTGAATGCGACTTGTTGTTCTTTTGACAAATCTAGCAATATGCTAGTTGAGAACTGTTATACTTGTATATGCTCAAAGTCAATCTGATGCTAGTTAGACTTATTCCCAGGCGTATTTAAAATCTTGAGCTTTTGACTTATTCCTCAATATATTGGCTCAGAACTGCTTGCTAATATGTGTTATACATCTTAATTGATTGCGAATTAAATTCATCTTCTAATTCTTTTGCTGGCTCAGAACTGTTATACTCGTATATGTGTACATGATATGCTTAGAACTGTTATACTGGTGCAATGTCTAAACTGATTCAGATTCCGAGTTCTGTTCTTTTAGCACTCTAGTTCAAATGTGCTTAACTACTGTTATACTTCCCTGGCCTGATTCACATTTTGACTGGGTTATGGGAATCACTAGTTCCGAGCTCGGATTCTAGTTCCTTTGACATGCCGCACTGATTCCAATTGGAACTTTGTTTCTATTTACTAATTCTTCGAACTGCTAGGTTAGAAGTGTTTTACTGGACTACATCTAATCTTATTTGGGTACTTTAGCTACTTTACTTGATTTATGATTCTGTTTGCGGAACTTTTGATATGCTAGTTCCCATGTGTTATACTTTATAATTATATTCTGCTGCTGGTTCTTTTGACAAATGCCTTAAAATGCTACTGCAGATAAATTGCACTCATATATCATATAACTATACCAATTGCGAATCGGAATCCGATTCTGGTTCAGCCTGACTATACTGATGTAGCTCATAGATTGCTTCCGATACAACCAGACTGATTCCGATTTGGATGCTCGTTCTTAGCACGCTGGTTCGCAATCAGCAGTGTGCCAATATGAAATAAGTATATGCAGTTTATATGTATATATATACATATATATCTTTATGTATATAGCTTAAATCCAACCGGTTCTTGGCTTCTCGAGCCGATATTATTATGCTGTAACCGGTTTGCGTGCCGCTTATATATATATCTTTTTTTTTTTTAATTTTATTCTCTGCGTTTAAAATATTTTGTTGTTGTGTTTTTGTATTTTGTGAAATATTTTGTTTGCATTTTAAGCGCATTTGACACACCGGCGCGGAGTTTGGTTCAAAGTTCCGCTCTCCAGTTCATCTGCACAGATTCGTTAACTGTAAAAACTGTTTTGTTTTTCGTTTATCTCTTAAGCTCTTGTGCTCATTTCGTATGGCAAATTTAGTATAACGGGCTGCCGGCTCGTTCAGTGCTTTGTTTGATTACAGCATAAACATTTCACGCTCTCAATAAATTGTGTAAACGCGTCTATTGTCTTTGGCGTATTGAACAGGTGCCGCGGTCATTAGCATAATGCAAATCGATTTCAAGCTCGGCTAATACATAAGAGAATTATTGCTCGTCAGTTAAGTTAAAAGACAAAAGCATTTTAGATCAAGTATAGCCTCGGCAAGTGTCCAATAATCTATTATTTCTTTTCTTTCAGCTTTTGCTATGCTCTTTGACTCTGGCTATCGATATCCACATCAGCATCCCCTCAGAGGTAAGCAAAACATTTGCTAATTTACTTAAGAAACGGTTTATTTTTGTTTATGAAGCAATTAAAATGGCATTTGAAGCCAATTGTTAATGTTAATATTTGATTTCACTCAGTGCGCAGCCATTAGGCAGCAAATAAACAACAAAAATCTTTTTCTTTCCGCATTTGGGACAAGTTTCTTGAAATGCAATGGGGAAGTCTACGAATGTGGAAAATATGATCGATAAACTTAGCTACTTAATGATTGGCGGAAATATTGAAACTAGTCGAAATATTTGACTATTCGTTTAAGCTCTTATGAGGTCAGAGTTTTTAGTTTTTAGTTGATATCGGCCACGCTCCAGTTAAAGCAAAATCAAATTATCAAAGCTTGAATGGTTAGGGACAGCGGAATTGACTTTCCAAACTCTCTTTAACCTCTCTTTACTGCACTGTTGCCTTAGCCGTTCTACTGCTGCTCCTCCACCACTCGGAGACCGCCTTTCCATTCCATTATTTGTGGTTCTGCTCAAATGCACATAAACAACTTGGGCCAGTTGAACGTGTTGGTTGTTAAAACTTGAGAAAACTTGACAAATGACAAATTTAGCGCAAAAAAAAAAAAGAAAAGTAAAGAAAATGTAAAAGCGAGAAGAAGCAGTGAACGTTTAAAGCGAATGGAAAATTGCCGCTGAAGAAAAGTGAAAATCTACGAAAATTAAATCGTTGCGAAAAGTGTTGAAAAAATTTAATAAAAATAATTACCAAATCAAGCTTGAAATGGGCGTCAAGTGAAATCGATGAAGCGATTTGAGAGTGAATTGAAATAGAGTTTGCCTAAGGGTTCAGTCACGAGGGAAATATTATATGGTATTAGACTCCACTACATATAGAATTATGAATAAATATATATTTTTTAATAATCTTGAGCTGCTGACATCTGCATCATTCCATCTCAGCTACAGCACCTACATTTCCTTTCGACCTTTTCTTATACTAACTTTTGCCACAATAGTTTTTTTTTAATTTTTATTATCTTTTAGTTACTATAACTATACTAACTTCACTGAACTCTTTGCTGAACTGAAAAGTACTCGAAAAACTTGACAACTTGAAGTGATATTGCTTTTCTATTCTAGTTTTGTATTCAGATTTGGCACGCCAAAAAGAGCTGAGGAAAAGCATTTTCTTGATTTTATATTAATGAATTTCATTCAATTTTGTTGGCCATGCTTAAAGAGTGTAATATTTAGTGTCTACTTTCTTTTGGCAATCAAGTATGTTTCTAGGTTTGCTTGGAAAGTTTTCTTTATTTAAAAAATATTTAGAAAATATTTCAGATATTTTAATATATTTTCTATTTGATTTATTTATTATATTAAATATTTAAAAAATATTTTTAAAAGTGCTTAACATTTTAACTATTTTCCAGCACACATCAAGTTTTTTAACCTTTAAACTTTATGTAAAAAAGTTCTCTATGAAAGTTGATCAATAACATATAAACGATTTATATATAATTTATTAAAATATTTTGATATTTGATTTTTGCCTCTAAGTACCTGTTCCATAGATTTCCACACAGTCGATGAACATTCTTCTTATGTCATCAGCTGGAAACACGCAGTCAGCATTTCTTGAAGGAATCTGCTCTGATTAACTGCTGTTTGCAGTCGTATACCTTATATCATTGACTTTCATTTGATGCATGAAAAAAAGGGACACTTAAATGGGATGAGTCAACAATTTTCATTCAGTATTCCGACAGTCCCATGAGTCAAGTCGTGCGCAGACTTTCAACAAGCAAAACAAATGGTCGAAGAAATTAATTCTTAAATGATTTTTTTTCTGTTCGTGGACTTAAATAACTCTTTAACTCTTTAGTGTTCCTCTTTGCCTACTCAGGTCTTTGTGGCACTATCGCAGTCATTATTTTTGTAGCTATTTATCTTAGCAGTGCCCCAGGCGACCTCAGTTCCATTCTCAATCATTATTTTGGCCAGCTTTATTGAAGTTCTCTGAGTTTTCATTGTTTGCCACTTGCTTTGTCCGATTCGAATTCGTTTCATTTTTCTTTATTTTTTTTTTTTGCATTCATTTTTCTCTTTATGTTGTCAACACAATTAAAGCAAATTGCCAATTGTTGTCTAACACCTTTTCTGTTGTTCAAGCGAAACAAAAACATATTTGGTAAAATCATAAATAAATTTGTTACACTTTTTTTCCTTTTAGATTTTTTATTATTATTTTATTATTTTTAGTGCGTGGCCCGCAGCTTTATTAAAAAATGCAAATCTCGCAGCTATTTCGAAAGGTTTTCAAATTTGAATTCATAGATCGAAGAGCAAAGCTTTTAGTAGGCGTCTCACGGCACTCAACGTCTGCTGCTCGATTGTGTTAGCAGCTCGGCTAGGAAAATGTTCTAGACGACTTTCACACACACACACACACAGAGCGACTTATTCTATTGAATGAACATCATTGAGCACTTTCTAAGCATCTTTTAAATATAGAAAATCATTGCGCTTGACGCAGGTATTCTCTTTGTAGTGAATCACGTTCGCATTTTCCAAATCAAAATGGCTTTAATTAACAATTTATGCGCAGCCCGGTATTTAGTTATTATTATATATATATATATGTATGTGTCTACTCTACCACCGTCAAGCCCTCAATTTGATGCCTCATCATCATCATTACGATCATCATCCGCTGGCCAGTCTTCGCATCGATTCTTAGCTCTATAATCATTAGCTACTGTTGCCTGGGCTCTACGCTGTGCCGTTGTCAACCTTGCCGCCTCTGAACATTCTGTCCAGTCATGCTTAATTATTATGATTATCAATGTTTTATGCTCTATAATTGCCGTTGGCTGCCGTGACTGGGTTCTTCTGGGGCGTCAGCAACGTCGGCAGTGTCCAGCCCCAAAAACTGGGCCGTCTGACCAGCCCAAAGTGTTTTAATTGTCAAGTTAGGACTAAGTTCGAGCTGTTCACATTTTATATTGGTGCTTATATTGGTTACGTATGTTGCGAATGTGCTTATGCAATCGCTCTTGGCCATTATATTGAATATGTATATCTAAGTCTGGCTAACAGTCAGCTTAACACAAGCCACCAACCAGGCACAGTGGCTGAGCCAAGTCGCAATACACTCGGCAACAACTCTAATTACACTGTGCAACAAGTTTAACACAACTTTTGCGGCTGCTCAAGGCCCAAGTCGGAAGTTTTGTTGACATTTAAATGTATTCTCAAATGTGAAACATAGCTTAAATATTTGTATAAAAAACTATCAAAAAAATTAAATTTATTTTTGCCTTGAATCAAATCAATTTAGCTGCAGTAAAATTATTTAAAATTCTTTTAATATATTATAATAAATATATTCACAAAAAATAAACATATTTTAAACAAATTGATTTAGATTATTAAAACTCTTAAACATTTTTTAGAAACAAAAAAAATATATATGTATATATCTAAAAACTCTAAATTAGCATTTAAAATAGTTTTTAAACTATTTTTTTATATATGAAATTATTTACCAAAACAAAAACGCATAAATAACATCAAGTGTTTTTTATAATAATTTGTTTTGGTTTTTTTTACAAAAAGATAAACTAAAATTAAATTAAATAAAAAAAGAACTCATAAATAAAATTAAAGCTAATTTTTGTACTATTTTTTTTAAGCTCATAAATAATATTTACAGTATTTTCGACGCTTAAGCTAAGTGCACAATTTTTTCTACAATTCCGACAGAAAAATTAATTTATATAACATTAAAAGTGCTTTTAATATTAATTAAAACTAATTGCGAGTTGTTAGTCTGTTGATGAGGACAATGAGACAAAAGAGCATAGAATCTCTATGCAATGTTTGTTTGCTGCTTGAAAGCTTTTGCATAGAAGATGAAGTTTCTTGGAATATTAGCGAAACAGTCCATCTGCTGCCCTTTTGATTATGCCATAAATCAAGTTGAATATGATTATACGATATTTATTAATATAACATCAAATTACTTTGACCCTCAGTATTATCTGGGCTTTTAATCAAATGCTGCTTCATTAGATTATTCTGAAAACTACAAATCAAAATAGTTTTTGAATTCAAAAACGAGTTTTCAAAACAAAAAGCGCAGACAAAGGAGACAGCTCCAATGCGCAGCCATTTTCAAAAACCTTCATTAGCAAACTAGTTAGAAACATACATTGAATTAGTAATTAGTTTAAGTAACTTATATATAGATATATATGAATAAGACAAGACAAAAATTGGCAGATGGAAAAATAGGCATATGCCAGGGCATGTGTTCAGAGTGTTTATAGAAAAACCCAAGTTTTGATAAGCCTAATTCGAATTTTCGAATTCAATACTTTGCACTTTTTAACCACTGTGCGCACTGCCGCATTCAACTGGCAGACGCATCGCAATGCAGGCCAGTCAGGCAGTCAGTCGTTCAGTTCAGTTGGCTCAAAGCTTGGCTAGGCGAGGCTGGGCTAGTGTTGCTCTGTTACCATGTCCGAGCGTCCATTCAGGTGTCCGGGCAGGCGTGCATTTAAATTTATTATGTAAGCCACACAGTCTATGCCACAAGCAAGAGCAAGCAGTGCCCCAACCAGAGTCACAGCCTCCCAGCCGCCGAGTCGCCCTGTCGCGCGCCTCGCATCCAACGCCACCGACGCTGTCGCAGCGTTTGTTGCTGCAATCTTTAAAAATCTCGCGTACTCATCAACAACATTTCAAAGTGAACGTACATCAAAGTGGATGCCAGAGCCAACTTCAAGCGCTGCTTGAACAAGAAGGTGTATCATACAAAATCGCAAAAACTATCTAAACAGGAAACCCTGCAACAACAACAACAACAACTGCAGGTGGAGGAGGCGCTGGCAGCGGCGGCGGCGGCAGCAACATTGAGAAAATTAAAACAAAATGTTGTCGTCTATGGCTATGCTCTAAGCTACCTCCGCCTGCTTGATCCTGTCCTCTGCTTAAGTAGATGTTGCTGCTGTTTTTTTATGT